GTCTGAATTTTGCTACTGATGCATTTTTACACCAATACACTTTGAAAAAAAAACCCCTGTAGCAGCTGGGCCTGGGGCTTTTACAACCTCCCCTGTAGGTACACCAAGCATTTGTGCTCCTGGACTGGGCAGGGGCAGAGGAGCAGCTGGTGGGGGTAGGCCCTTCCCTCACCTGAGCACATCACACCTTTCCCCTCCACTGCTCTTTGTAAGGGCTGCTCGGATGTGAGGGGACCACCAGTCTCTTTTTCTGTGGCTAACTGGGGCTGCCCTCCAAAAGTGGCTCTTCCTCCCTGCGCTCTGGTGCAGGGCACCTCATGGGGTCTGGTTGGGACAGGGTGGACACTTACCCGGTGCTGTCCCACACAGTTCCCAACAGCTCTCCCAGGCAGCGGCGGTGGCACCTGCAGACAGCAAAAGACAAGCAAGAGCTGAGATGTCAAACACTGCCCTAGCATCCAGGTGGCTGCCAATGCCCTCTGCTGCCCGCCTGCCCTGCCCAGTGTGATAAGCACACCATAGTGTCCAGGGAAGGGTGGGAAAACTGTGCTGATACAGTTCAAATTCCTGGGCACTACCTGGGGTGCTGGCTTAAAGTCAGCAATAGTAGGAAAGGTCAAAAACCCATTTCCAGGGTTTGAAAAGTACTGCAAATTCTGCTGTAGTTGTTGGTCTGCAAATATCCTCTTACTGGATTCTGCTGCAGAGTATTTTTATTGCAGGCAGTTTTAATATATGGCACCACTGCTCACCCCACAATGCTGGGATCTGAGTGCAATGGGAGCCTAGAGCTGGTGGTGATTCACAGCGTTTGCTGGGCAACTGAGCAGCAATGCCATACAGCCAGGTTTCCGTACATGCTTGTGAGCTTCTGGCTTCCCCTGATTATCCTGGCATCTTTTGGGATATGTGGGCCAGTGCATCCCTCGGGCATAGGGGATCTGGAGGTGGGAGCATACTGTGAGACTCACCAAGCCATTCCAGAGCATTCCCTACATGCCCGAAGTCAAGACACCTCCATGGACAGGAGCCCCCTCTGGTCTCAACAAAATCTGCCGATGAGGTGCCCCAAGCTAACTGAAAGGTGTAGAAATGTGCCTCAGAGCATTAAATATTCCCAGGTTATTCCATTTTTTGTGAACAATGTCAAAGGCTGGATTACAGCCCTGGTTATGCAGCAGAGTATTAACCAACTCCCTTCTGTGCCCCTATCTGAAAAGCAAATTTGTACTGATTTATTGCCTTCCCACATGCTGCCCTGCAGCAGACCCGGTTGTGCAAGCTTGCCCTGGGGGCTAAAGGACACATGGCTGGGGATCAGCCCTCATGAGAGACATGGCTTTCCTCCTCCTTACCCTGCTGGAAAAGTAAGCCTTTGCTAGGAGCAGATTTTCACTCTCACTCTACAGTTATGCAGGAAAAAAATGGCTGCTACTACATTTCTCTTAGTTTACTGTTTGTTTCAGTTTTATCTGTCCAAATTTCACATTAGGAGAGCTGGAATATGATTGCAGGCACCCCTCTGACCCTGTTAGCCATACGGGTAAGGTGAGCATCCTCCCCACCTCCCTTCCTGTGGCTCCACTTGGGCTGTTCCTGTGCAACAAATAGATCCCAAATCTGCCGAAATCCAGGGGAAGAATTACAGTGACCCAGACAGCACCTTGCACAATGCCCTAACTGCTAAATTAAAGGTACATGCACAGGCATCTCAGTGCTAATATATATTTTTCTTGCTGTATTCACCTCTGCACCAGCACCTCTAAACCCACCCACTCCACCCCTCCAAGCCCCACTGATGCTACATCCAAGTACATCTCATGTTTTCCTGGTGCTGAAAGTGTGCTGCAATGCAGTAGGTGGTACACCCCACACTTTCGGTGACACACTGGGAAGCCAAGGAGAGCCATACTCACAGGTGTCGAGAGGGCTGTGCTGAGCAGGCACAGGGACAGGCACACGAGGGCTGTTTGCATCTTGGGCAGCTCCTGGGGGCACAAAGCGAAGAATCACTGGAGTTTGTCTTCCTGGGACTTGCGGTCCCCAACAGTCCTGGTCAGCAGCAACTCAAAAGCTCCTGCTGTCCCAAAGCCACCATGGCAGTGGAGTTATCCAGTAACCCCCCCAGCTTTCCTCAGCCTTTGTTCTGCCCTTGCTCTGCCTCTCTGCACTCCCTGCAACAAAGGCAATGCTCTTGCCATGTTCATACAGCAGCAAGGCAAGGACAGTCAGCAGCACCACATGGGTGTTCTGACACCAGGCTTTAAAGTTTCTTAACTCGCTCTATCAAAGCAGTTTGGTTGGATATTTGCAATAAATGGCCACCAAAACTGCTGCAGGCTAAACCATACAGTCTGAATTAAGCAACTCACACGCTGTTTTCAACAGCACTGATAAATGGCACGAGACAAAAGCTTTGTTGGCTAACAATTCTCGTTTCACCCATCCACCCTGGCTTGGGCTCGTAGGTCCTGCCCGGAGAGTATTTTTAGCCATGCAAGTGTTGCTACAGAAATCATCAGAAGGAAAGTCATGCACAAGGATCAGCATTACGAAGCTCAAGAGAGCGTGATGTGGAGATGCGCACAGCCCAGGCTTGGGCTGTCTCCCCATCTGCACCGCACCTTGCCCAGAGTGAAAGGAGATGCCCTGCTCAGGGCAGGCAGAGCAGAAGAGCTAGGGAGAGACAGGGGAGGCAAGCTAGGTAAGACTACCTTTCACCGTCAGAGGCAGATCCCAGCAGCAAATGGTGGAGGCTGTCCTCACTTTGCTGAAATTTAAAGTTGGCCCCGGCCAGGCGGAGCCAATAAGCTCCTGCCCAGGGACATTTGTCAGGGCTGGCAGCACAGATAACCAGGGGGAGTAATTTCCAGCTAAAAATGTGTTTGTGGTGGAAGACAGCTATCAAATGTTCCACCTGGCTGGATAAACAGAAAGCATGGTTTATAAATATCTGTTCTGAAGGCAAAATTGCTCGATGATTAGTGCAGATCTTAGCGTGGCACACATCCAGCCAGGTTATTGATAAGGAGGGGTATAGCAGTTGTAGCATGTTCACTGTGACTGGCATGGGAAAGCCAGCAGGGCTGCAGAAAGGGAAGGGTAACACACTGAGCCCGGCCTGGTTGTGGCAATGACCAGCACCATGGGGCAGTGCTGGCCAAGCTGAGAGATGCCACCATGCTGTAGCATCTGACCATTGCTTTTTGGGTTTCAGCCTCAACCCCCTGAGCTGAGCCCAGTACAAGTGCAAAATAGAAGATTGGTTCAAAAATAAAAAAAAAAGATTTTTTTCGTGCACTGCTTGCATAGGTTCCTTCAAGCCCACCTTTGCTGTGGGAAGGTGTGATGAGGATGTGCACAATTTGCCTACTCTCCTCCTGCCCGCCTCTAGCTTTGGTGGTATTGCTGGTCCCCCCTGCAGCTAGCCTGGCCCACGGCACTGATGGTGACAACAGCTCCCATCCCACCCTGCCCAAACCCTGGGAGCAAGCAACACCAACACATTAACACCAGAAATGCTTAAACCATCAGCATCCAGCCTCAGGCAGGAGCAAACCTTGGAGCCAGGAGGAGACTTGCCCCTTGCCAGGGAGACAGTCAGATGTTGCCCCACAGGTAGTGGAGCAGCCAGACAGTGCGCTTTGGCGCAGGGAGGCAGAGCTCTGGCTGGGTGCCCGGGGGGGCTGACGCACATGGGACCGGGCTTGGTGCCCCATGGGAGCAGAACCTGGCCCCCAGCAGTGCCAGGGCCTTTGTCCATGCTGGTTCCCTGACGTCTTTGGGCACTCCCTGGAGATGGGGACGACTGGGCTCTTGCGTCTTCCCCACCGGCTGCGAGTATGTGCAGGGCTCCCCAGTGTTGCTGGAGGCATTTGGTCCTGGGGGTGCCCACCCTGCAGGCAGTAGCCCCTGCCACCCCAGCAACTGCAGCCTGGCTTTGGCACATGGAGGGGGTTTTGTGCAGTGGCCAGCAGCTTGCTGTTGTGAGAATAGAAACTCATTTTGCAGTTGGACCTATATCAGGACCTGAACACAGGTTTCCTTTCCAGGAGTGTGAGGGCAGCACAGTACCTGCCGCAAGCTGTGCATGAGGGCCACCACTTTTCCTAAATGGGGGCACCTGCCTGGAGCCCAGTGGGATTTGATCCTTCCCAGTCACTGGTGCTGATCCCCAGTTGGCCAAGGCCACACTTCCATGGGGAAGTGACTCTGGGCAGGGATCCTGGGCATCTCTGCCCCTCATCCTTGATGCAAGAGTCAAGTGGATGCACTGCTGTCACTGTGACAGCCCTACCTTGCCCTGGGCTGTGTCTGAAATGCATGTCCAAGGTGCCCATCTCGGTGGGACCCACGTGCCTGGCGCAGGGATGAGAAGCAAAGCTCTCGTTACAGGAATGTGTATCTACAGCTGGTGATACATGGAAAGAGAAATTAATGTCTCCACCTTTACTAATATTGCCTGTTTTGTGGTCAGGCCATAGTAGACATGCTGCCAAGGAGTGGAAGATGGGGTAAAGTTAGCATCACCCTCATTGGCAAATTCTCGTCAGCTCTAGATAAGGTGTGGCAGTAATCCCACAGCAGCAACCCTAACAATGCTCTTACATTTGTCAGAGGGGACTCTACAGAGGCTTTCCTAGTTAGCCTTTCTGTTCCTCCCTCCTTTTGTGTGCATCTGAGCTGGAACAAAGAGATTTAACGCTGAGCAGCATGAGCACCTGTAGCCCTTCAGCCCACTGAGCACTGTGCCGCCCTGCTGACCCCAGCAAATTCGTCAGCAAACCCTTCATCACCAACAAGCTCAGTTCAGTTGCTTTATTTCATTTCGCTTTGTGAGATATTAAAAAAACCAAAAAGCCCAGGATGGAGCCAGTGCGCACCACAAGTGGCCTGGTGTCCCCTCTGGCACACAGTGGCTGCAGTGAGTCTTCAGATACACGTTCCTGAGCGTGGATGGGGCAGGTGGGGGGCAGCACCAGGGCCATCCCACCACCTGCTCACTGGCTGTAGTAGTAATCCTGGCCGTACACATCATAGCCATGCCCCTTGTAGTAGCCATACTCATCCTCGTAGGCTCGGTAGCTGTCCCCACGGGCATAGTCATCCTGGTCCCCATAGCTGCCATCAGTGGTGCCCTCATTCCCTGGGTCATGGCCTCTGACTGTAACCTCATATTCCCACTGCTCCCGGGCTGTGGTGGTATCTGTGGGTCCCACATCTCCCATAGTGGTCGCCTCAGACAGCCCCTCGTTGCCAGTGGTACTGGCGATGGTGGTGGCTTCAGTTTCCTCCTCCTCCTCTTCCTCCTCTTCTTCTTCTTCCTCATCCTCTTCCTCCTCCTCCTCAGCTGTGCCTGTGCTCTCCTCAGCCACCGCAGTGCCATTGCCATGAGGCCCATCTGCCCCCTCAGTGGTGTTGGTGCTTGTGCCATTGATGCCATTCTCATTCTCGGCTACCTCTTCTTCCTCCTCCTCCTCCTCTTCCTCCTCCTCATTCTCCTCACTGTCTTCATTTTCAGAGTCACTTCCTTTGCCGGCAGCACTGTTCCTGTCCCCCTTCAGGGGCCCTTGGCAGCCTTTGCCCTGGTGGGGAGGGAAAATAACACAGCATTAGTTGGGCATCAGGACATCGCAGCTTTTCAGCGCCACATGGCATGGGGCAGGAATGGGCACAGCTGAGTATCCCTCCCCCGCCATACATAGCAAGGCTGCCTTTTTGGGGTGCCCCTTCTGACCCTCCATCAGGTTAATGCCCAGAGCTTTGCCCAGCTGTGCGCATCTACCACAGCAGATCCCCATGCAGAAATGGGGTGCAGGGCATCCCATGAGTGCAAGCAGGCATGCAGTGAACATATCCCTCCCCCTGCCACGGGCGCTCTCCTCCAGCGCCCTACACCACACCTGCTGGGGAAATGCGGCATCTTCTCCCAGCCCGCCCTGGCCGTCCCCGGGGGCCGCTCCGGCAGGATGGCCAGCTGCCTCCATGCCAGCGTGGGATGGCTCCTGCAGGGACAGAGGGAGGACGGGCAAGTGGTCAGCAGCAGGAGCGGAGCACAGCCCTCCCAGAGTGAGTGGGGCACGCAGCATCCCCTCATGGCGCTTGGGCACTGCTCTGAGTTTCCTGCTTTCCCACCCCAGGCTGAAATTGAGAAGCTGCAGCAGGGCAGCCCGAACTGTGCAATTAAGTGGTGGTGGCTGGAGTTGAGTGTTCCCATTCTGGCTATACATTTTGTTTTACGAAGCATCTAAAAGTTTGCCTTTGAAATTAACTCTCCCTGTTCCCAGCAAACAAAGGAAGCCACAGGCACGCTACATGCGGACACACTACACACCAGGTGTAGACAGCTGACAAGAGTGTGATGACTCAAAGCCAGGCATGAGCCTGAACCCCACCAGCAATAAGTCATCAGCACCACTTAGCCCCAGAGACCATGCAGCAGAGCAGGTCTCTTGGGGTGCATGGCAGTCCACGTCTCTAAAAAGGAGGATGAATAACCCAAATGCAAGCAGAATCTGGAGCAACCCACTGAGGAACTCTTCCCAGCCTAAGAGGAGGAGCATCTGGCAAATGAACTCAGCCATGGTGGTGAGATGCAGGGTGACTGCCGTCCCTGCCCATGGCAATCCTCACTGCTTGTGTGCCAAGACTAAGGACACTCACCCTGGTGTTTTGGGCCAACTCAGACAATTAAAATATAGGTGCATCTGATGCCAGAAAAAAACCCAGGCTGTTTTCCTCTCCACTAGAGGAGCCACCAAATTGCACAGTGCAGCTGTCTCTGCCGATGAAAGTGATGCCCCCCATCTAGCAGCTGATATAACGATGCTCTTTACGTACCTATAACCGACCTTGGGGCCTTTCATCATGATTTATCTTGCTGACCAGTCCCTGACAGTGAAAACACACAGCATCCCTGCCTAGGCATGGCCACTGCTCTGGTGCCCTTAAAGTGAAAGGGACAAACCAGCAGCTGCATTCCTGCTTATCACTCAATTTTTTCCTCAGGAATGAAATTTCCCCTTTGGCTGTCCCATGCCACTACTCAAAGTTATCCCTAGTGATTGTAGTGGTAGGGGGGAGGAACAGCCAAAATGGGGCAAATTGCAGGGATGTGCCAGGGCTGGCAGAGGCCCCTGGGGGAGAGGGGCCACCCCATGCTGCACCCAGCCCCAGGCAGGCCTCCAAAAGAGATTTTAAGATGCCCAGGCTTACACTCCTGTTAGACGCCTGAAATTAGCATTCAAATCATTAAATTAAAAATAAATAAATTAATATGTGATTAGACCTGACACATAGGTTTCCAAGCATGCTTGATCCCTGTCTCAAAGCACCTGTTTGCCTGAGACCACTGGATTATTTTTGAGGATCTGCAGCCCAGAGAAGCACAAGGGACCTTTGTAATCCCTGGCTTTTGATTTTGGACCTGCGTGACTCTTGCAAATGCAGTGGTGCCCAGCTTATATTGACAGGAGCAGTGTTACCGGCTGGGCTTGCATTTCCCAATATAGCACCAATTTGTGTCCCTCAACATGCATGCATGCACAGTATAATTGTATTTTCCACAGCAATTTTATCAGCACTATGGGGACAATGCACCCTGAAAGGGCCAAGAGGAGTCTCTAACAGCGCTTTTTGCCTTGTGGGTGAGCTTCCCTGCTTCTGCCCTTTGGCCCATCCTGCTCCTTTCTGAGCCAATGAAAACAGCTCAGAACCCAGAAAGTTTGTCTCAGAGTTGTTCCTGAGACACCCTCTTTTCCTCACCCACCCTCTTTAAAAAAAAAAAGAAGAAAAAAGAATAAATATACAAAAAATAATAAAATAAAGCCCAGAGTAGAAAATCCAGTCACATCCAGAGTGCAAGGTTGTGGGCAGTCAGCAGCCACAAAGGCTGATGAGCAGAGAATACAAAACCAAAAAAAGTTCCCAAATTCCCGTATTTGTTTTGCAGGCTGCTGGTTTGATGTACTCACCCCTCCTTCCTCCTCCTCCTCAGAGCCATCCCCCTCTTCCTCTGATGAGTCACTACCCTAAGGAGAAGGAAAACCAAGCCGTAGCCATGCTGGCGTGTCTCCATTTGTGTCATGAGCACAATGGTCTCAGCCCAGCCCTGCAGGCCAGTGGTGGATAGGGCTCAGACCATGCCCCCTACTTTGGCCACTATCTCCACGTTTGGTGGGTGGTGAAGCAACAGCAACCCCTCCGAGGCACCCACCTTGTACCGTCGCTGCAGAGGATGCACATAGGCGTATCTGTACAGGTTATACCGATGCCTGCTCTTGAACACCTACCAGGAGAAGAAGGGGGTAAATCCTATCAGTCTGGGGGATCAGGTACAGGACTGACCAAAACGTCCTTGTCCTCAAGACCAGCACCATGTGGGGCTGGACATGCAGGGTCAGGGGAGACCCTACCGCGTTTTCTTCTGAGTCGTCCGACTTGGCTCGCTGCAGCCAGCTCTTGACCTGGGGGAAAGGCTGGGTTGGCACGTACCCCACACCGGCCCCAGCAAGGCCGGGGGGTCCCCCCACTGCCTGGCACTCACCGAGAAGGCGCACGCCATCCCCACGAGGCAGGCGAAGACCAGGACAGTCCTCATGGCTGCTTACTCTAGGAGAGCAGAACACGGTGAGGGCTTGCTTTTCAGCTAGAATGCACTGTAACTACCTGAAACCATACAAGTGCTTGTGTCCACAAAGGTGAGTGGGGAGAAGGCTGACCTCCAGCCACCTCTTGATGGGGTCACCCAACCCCTCTGGAGACCCAAGTCCATCTTTTTTTTTTTTTTTTTTTTTTTGTCAAATGTCTGTGCTGTAAACAGGATTTAGACAGATATAGTCTGCATAAGGAGATTCAGCTTTTTACTTCTTTGAACATTAATAAAACCTCTCTGAGTCCGTTCCCCAATTTAAATAATGAATGAGCTATTTTCTTAGCGCTCTCTTATATATATACCCTCAAGTAATGTGTCTTATGCAATAAATAAAAGCTGGGAACGTTTTTTTTTTTTTTTTTTTTTTTTTTGATAGATCTCCTCAATTTCTACAAATACAGTTTATTTTTGCAAGAAGCCACAAAATACCAGAAAAGTGCATTTCACCTGGTAGTGGCCTCATTGCTTCTGCTGAGCAGGACTACTTGCTCCCGCTTCCCAATGCCTGGGAGTGAGTGGGGAAAAACAACCCCAGCCGGAGACGCAGTAGAAGCTGCCGGCGGGAACGCTGCCCACTGCGGCCGCCCTCCCACAGCGCTGCAACCTGCGCGGGCTCTGCACAGGGAGCAATGCCCCTAGGGATTACCACACAGAGAGCTTAACCTCATGGAAGAAAAATAAATCAGCAGACAAATAAGTGAATATAATCGGCTTCTACAGTCAGCCATCGACAAAATTGCAGTGGCAAGGCACCAATGGCAGGACCCCCCTGTAGGCATATCCAGGGAGGGAGGCTTGGCTCTGGGCAGGTCCAAGCTTCACCCCCTAAGCATCAAAACCCAGCCTACCCTCCTCCATGCCAGCCCCAGCAAGGAGCCCGCCTGACCCTTCCCCCAGCACCCCAGACTCCCTGCGGGGAGGATGCTCCTGGCAGAGCCCCAGGGCTCAGTCAGGCCTTCCTTTTTCCTATCCTTCTTCCAGCTAAACCCACCATCTGCTCTGCTGAGGTTTGGGGGGAGTTGTTATTATATTTATCTGCACTTGAAGTTTCCCCATCTTTGCTGAACTCAGGCTAGAAAACAGCTGACCACACGCTAGCTTCCCGGGCCATGCAGCAAGGCTCGGGACGCTCATTCCCTCCACCCCAGTGCTTCATGAAGCCATAGATCCAGGAAAGGGCTAAAAGCAGCATCCAGCCCCCTCAGCAAGCTAAGCCCTCCCACCCCCCTGCAAACAGACGGCAATGCACGACTGGGCTGGGAAAAGCAGCAGCAAGCTTACCCCACCACAGCACTGATGGCTGCCCACGGAGTCGCCCGGCACAGATTTTTCTCCTGCTGCTGCCCTGCCAGGATATAAGGTCTTTTTTGCCCTCCCCCCCCCGGCCTCAAGCCAGTCGCCGCCCTGCCCAGAGTGACGCCAGCCGGCTGGCGCATGCCAGAAAACCCCCAAACTTCAACACTGGCAGATTTGGTACACAAACATAGCGCCCCGCGCCACGGCCAAACCTGGGGAGGTTTGCACCACACCACTTAATTGAGGGTCTGGCCTCAGAGGAATGGCTGGGACGCTGGAGGGTATAATAACACTCTGGGTTTAAATTAAAATAAATATTGGGAAATCTGTTCTTGAGGGGTGCCTACCTCCCTTTTTCGGAAATTCTGTCATTGTTTTTTCAAGAAGACAAAAAAGACCAGCCTCAAAGGCCTGGCTCCACAGTCACTTGGGCACAGACATTAGACAAAAAAAAGGCTAAATCCAAACAAGTCCCTTTCCAGGCTGCCTGTAGAGGTGAAACAGGCCTTGAAAACAGGACTCAGATACAGGTGTTACCAGGCCTCCTTTGAGAGCCACTTCTGCCACAGTGATGCTACAAAACACATACCTGCTTTGTTTCTCATGCTCCCCAAACCACACAGACCCATGCAGCGGCCAGCCCAGTCCTTGCTCTCCAAAATCAGGTATTCCCCAGCTGAAGTCTGGCAGCTCTGTAAACGTCCCCAGCAGAAGAGAATAACTGGGGGGAAAAAAATAATGCAAAAAACCCACCCTCATGGCCACCCAAAGCTCAGTGGGGACCTTGGTGGCAGGATGCGGCCAGTGGTTGGAGCTCACCTCTCGTGCCCTCTGCCTGATGGCAGGGGATGGGGGCACATGGGTGCTGCCACTGCCCCCACCTCTGCAGGGACATCCTTTCTCCTTTTGCTATATTTATCATTTCCTGCTGGGATTTCAGCCACCCAGCTCTTCAGTGCACCTCTGCTTCCTCCCTCACAGATTTTTCTTGCACAGTCCCCTTGCCGCTTCAGCACATGCCCAGGCTGCAGCAGCTCAGGGAAATAGCTCCCCACTGAATGCAGCTTTGCTTTCCACAGTGGCAAGGAGAATTGCAAATTCCACATGATGCCTTCAGCCCTATAACCCTCAGAGAGGGAACGGCAGAGCTGGAAAATGCCTGCCTTCAAGCAAGTTAGCCAGTGATAAAACTACGGTTATTTAGGGGAGAAAAATCTGCTTTGCAGAGGAAGACCTGAACACTCCTGTCTGCTCAAAACCAGGGACTATGCTTGCTGAAAGCCTCGCCCACATCCAGGGGAGCCCAGTTTGAGTCTGAACATGATTGGGAAGCAAAGGATTTCCAGTTGACCAAACTGGACCCAGGTTAGGACAAATCTTTTTTTGTTGTTGTCATTGTAATTTTGTCTTCTTGATCATCACCACCTCAACAGGTACATAGTGGGGAGTGGCTAATTGCTGACAAAGCACAAGCACATCATGTGCTTTTGGGGAGGAAGAGGTGGCCTGGGGACCCCGGGGGTTTGGCAGCCCTGGCAGCAAGCTAGGCCACCTGTCTGCCCTGAAAACCCTGGGGCTGCAGGGCACAGCTGTGCCTGCCCCATGGGCTTCAAATCCATTGTGTCACCATGAGGAACCGTAATTATAAGGGAGGCCTGGAGTTGGCTGTGGCTTTCAGCTGGCGCCTTGGGCCAGGAAAACCCACACACACCCACCCCAAAAAAAAAAAAAAAAAAAGAAGAAAAAAAGCCATGCAGCTTTCCAATGCAAACACAGCAGCCGTCAATGAGAAGAGACACCAGCATCATGAGGGACCTGGTACCCCCCAGCCCGTTGGGCTGGGGTGGCTGGAGTGGCTGCCTTGTGGGGGGTTGATGCAGGGCACACAGGACAGAGAGAGCCCTGCTTCCCTCTGCCCCATGCCACGATGGGCTGCCCTGCGCAGGACAGCGGGAGGCACGCGCCCAGCTTTGAGCTGGGATTTTGTCAGGGTTGGGGAACAGAGAGTCCTGGTGGGAGGCGATTTTTAATGTAATTAAAGGGCTGCTGCTCCAGGCTGTTTAAAAAAAGAAAACTGACTATAAAAAAACGTATTTCACCCAAGATGCCTAAAAAACAGCAGGATAATTAACATGTGCTGAAGTGCCTCACACAGGCAGTACTATGTTTAGCTCCTGCGCCAGGGAGTGGGTGCTGCCTGGGCAGGCCACCAGCAGCAGCAGCAGCCCCACAGCACCCTGCAGGGAGATCAGTGGGGAAGCTGGCCAAATGTATCCAAATGTTTCCATTTAAAATAATAATAATAAGTAATTTTTTAAAAAACATCACGTCTCAGGATTGGAGCATTGGTGTCTTAATGCTTTTGCCAACATCCCTGGCTCTCCAAGGCAGCAGGGCCTTGGATTATTAGATTATTAGAAGTAGTCACAGGATCTGACAGCTTCATGAAAGCAATCTCACCTTTCACGGAATCATGGAATTGTTGGAGTTGGAAGGGACCTCTAGAGATGATCCAGTCCAACTCCCCTGCCAAAGCAGGGTTGCCCAGAGCACATCACTCAGGAGCATCCAGGTGGGGGTTGAAGATCTCCAGAGAAGGGGACTCCACACCCTCCCTGGGCAGCCTCTGCCAGGGCTCTGCCACCCTCACCCCAAAGAAGTTCTTCCTCACATTGGAGTGGAACTTCCCATGGTCCAGCTTGTGCCCGTTGCCCCTCGTCCTGTCATTGGGAACCACTGAAAAGAGTCCAGCTCCATCCTCCTTCAACCCTCCCTTTAGATACTTATAAGCAATAATAAGGTCTCCGTAAACAGAGCACAGAAGAGCTCACCTGCCTCCAGGGGATGTGCCAGACAGCAAAACCCCATTTTGGGGGAGCATGTTGAAGTGACGAGGCAGACATGCAGCATGCAGCCCAGGCCAGCAAACGCAATGGTTTCCCATTTGCACTCCCATCATTTTAGTGTTTTTTAACCTGTACAAGGATGCTGCTGTGTTGCTCATTACACACTTTGGTGAGCAAGCTGGGGGCATTGCTGCCCCCACGCAGACAATGCCAATCCCCCCAGGCAGCTGCTGCTGCTCCCAAGCCTCGCAGTCAATCCTGTGACCAGCACTGGTGGGGTCTGCACCAGGCGCTGGCACCAGTTCTGTGCTGCAGCTGGGTGGGCTTGCCCCCAGCGTGGCCCAGCAAGGGCACTGCCTAGGGTTTTGATGTCATTGCCTGAGCACATGGAGACCTCATGGTCAGAGTGTCCCTGTCTGGCACAGGCTGACATGGCCTCTACATCCAAATTTAATTATTATTTTTGCAGGGCGGTAAATGAGCAGATCAGTGTGCTCCCATCTTGCCCAGGTCCACCACGGGGCCAAGGCTGTGGTTGGAGTTGCACTGTCCTATTTCCACACCCTGGAGCTATTCTGGAAGGAAACCTCAGAGCCAAGAATAAATAAAGAAAACAAAACCAGAAGGACACTTTGAGCATGGTGGGGAGAAGCCAAGGTGTTACTGCAGCTAGGAAAAGGGGCAGCCCTGTCATGCAGCACCAGGCCCATCTACCTCCAAAATGTGCGTGGGGGGCACTGGAGGCAGAGCTTGCCCCAGCTCCCACTTCTCCCCATGTGCCGTCAGGGACAGGAGAACATGCGCCACAGCCACGACCTGGGGAGCCAAGTGATGAGCAGGGAGACCAGCAACAGAATAAGAATA